GCCCCGCTGGGGCGGGGGGGTGGGACATGCGGTGTTGGGGAGCGGGGTGCTCCTTGCTGCGGCCTCCCCCCCCTCCCCGGGGCCGTGTTCCTGCGTGGGGAGCGGCCTCAGCTGGGGGGGTCGACAAGCAGGGGCTGGAGCCATCCCCGGTGTCATTCCCCGGGCTGCCTTGACGTGAAGGGTGGTGGGGTTCATGCCCACGTGAGAATGGGGACCGTGGATAAAGCACGCGAGAAAAAAAGCCCCACGGGATTCCCCCAAAGCGGGAGCCGAGATCGGTGCTCAAATCTGAATTCAGTCATCGGTCCCTCAGGTGATCCGAGGTGATTTTTAAAGCGGGGTGGGAGGGGGAAACCCCGAACAGCTGGCATGGGTGACCCCAGCGGTGGCTCTGGTGTTTAGGTCCGAGGCGCTATGCCAGGGAAACGCACTGCAAAGAGGAGCCCGGTGTCAGAGGAAGAGTCTTCTGGAAGGAAGAGAATTAAAGGTGAGAAAAACCCCCTGGGAGTTTTCCCTCCCCATTCCCAGTGACCTGCTTTAATGGAAGGGTTGTTCCCCCAGTGTGTTCTATACGGTGTGTAGAATCACAGACAGGTTTGGGTTGGAAGGGACCTTAAAAATCATCTAGTTCCACCCCCCCTGCCCCGGGCAGGGCCACCTTCCACTAGCCCAGGTTGCCCAAAGCCCCGTCCAACCTGGACTTGAACCCTTCCAGGGAGAGGGCAGCCACAGCTTCTCTGGGCAGCCTGTGCCAGGTCCTCACCTCCCTCACAGGGAAGAATTTCTGCCTTGTGTCTAATCTAAATCTGCCCTCTGTCAGTTTAAATCTGTTACCCCTCATCCTGTCCCTACACCCCTGAGTCCCTCCCCCCTTTCCTGCAGCCCCTTTCAGCCCTGGGAGGCCGCTCTAAGGTCTCCCCGGAGCCTTCTCTTCTCCAGCTGAACCCCCAACTCTCTCAGCCTGTCCTCACAGGAGGGGCTCCAGCCCCTCCAGCATCTCCGTGGCCTCCTCTGGCCCCGCTCCAGCAGGTCCGTGTCCTTCTGCTGTTGGTGCCCCAGAGCTGGACCCAGCACTGCAGGGGGGTCTCCTGAGAGCGGAGCAGAGGGGGAGAATCCCCCCCTGGCCCTGCTGCCCACCCTGCTCTGGGTGCAGCCCAGCACACCGTTGGCTTTCTGGGCTGCCAGCGCACGGTGCTGCCTCACAGGCAGTTTTCCACCCACCAACACCCCCAGGTCCTTCTCCTTGGGGCTGCTCTCAGTCCACTCAGCACCCAGCCTGTGTCTGTGCTGGGGATTGCCCCGACCCATGGGCAGGACCTTGCCCTTGGCCTTGCTGAACTCCATGAGGTTGGCACATCCCACCTCCAAGCCTGTCCAGCCCCTCGGGATGACATCCCTTCCCTCCAGCGGGTGACCACACCACACAGCTCGGTGGTGTCAGCAAACGTGCTGAGGGTGCTCGATCCCACTGTCAAATCTGTCTTCTTTCTGCCCTGCAGTCTGCCACCCGTCCCACCACACGCAGCCTGGCCTGGTGCTCACTCTGGGGCAGGGAGATGTCGGCCAGCTGGGCCTGGGGGAGGACGTGATGGAGAGGAAGAAGCCAGCCCTGGTGCCACTGCCAGAGATGATGGTGCAGGTGGAAGCTGGAGGGATGCACACGGTGTGCCTCAGCCAGACAGGAAAAGTGAGTGCGGCGAGGAGGGGGCAGCACCCAGGGGGGTGTGGAGAGGCTGAGCTGCACTTCTCAAGCTCTGGGATGTGTCCTGGAGCTGAGGGGCTGAATTAGACCCTGCTCTGCCCAGGCGTGGAGCTGACTCTAGATCTGGGCATGAGCGTGGTCTCCGTGCCATGGCCCACACACTTCTAGGTCATCAAAGGGATAATTCAGCCTTGTGGGTCCCTGTCCCCTGGCTTCACACTCAACCTGTTGCCCCTCCGGGTGCCCTCCTGACCAGCCTGCTCTCTCTCCCTACAGATCTACACCTTTGGCTGCAACGATGAAGGTGCCCTCGGGCGCGACACCTCGGCAGAAGGGTCGGAGACCACGCCAGGGCTGGTGGAGCTTCAGGAAAAGGTGGTGCAGGTCTCTGCGGGGGACAGTCACACAGCTGCGTTGACAGACGACGGCAGGGTTTTTGTCTGGGGCTCTTTCCGGGTACGCTGGGTTCTCGGATGCTGGAAGCTCTGCTGGTGGTTGCTGCTTCTGCCACTCATGTCCCCACATCTTGTCTCCCCACGCAGGATAACAACGGGGTGATTGGCTTGCTGGAGCCCATGAAGACGAGCTCTGTCCCTGTGCTGCTCCAGCTCAGCGCACCCGTTGTTAAAATTGTCTCAGGTGAGCCTGGTCCCGGGGTGCACGTGGGTCAGGCTGGTGCCCGGGGCTGTTGCAACCCTCGGGAGAAGGTGAAGGTCCATAAGGTCCTTGTCCTCCCTCTTGGCTGCTTTGAGCCAGGTACAAGGGTGTGCTTGCTCTCCTCTAGCTCCTGAGAGAACAGACCTTGTGTTTCTCCTTGCACCAACGGTATTGTTAATATTTTACCCAATCCAATGGAAAATGCCTTACGAGAGTGCCCTGACTGTGACCCCACGGGGTCAGAGCACTCGCCTGCTTCTAGACTTAGAGAAGCTGAGCAGAGCACCCAGGGAACTTGTCCAGGGTGAGCTTGGGGCAGGGGCTGTGCCCCTAAACATTCCCAGAGCAACTTCTTTGAAGTTTCAGCTGGGGAACCAGATCAGAAAGAGGGAGGTCCTGGGGTTTTAAGTTGTGCCAGAAGCTGGTGTCATGGTATTCAGTGCAGTAAACCCCACTGAATTCTAGAAAGCTGGAGAGATTTACATAGAATCCCAGACTCATCCGGGTTGGAAAAGCCCTTGAAGCTCCTCCAGTCCAACCACGAACCTCACCCTGACCGTTCCCAACTCCACCAGATCCCTCAGCGCTGGCTCAGCCCGACTCTTCAACCCCTCCAGGGATCCCGGGGACTCCCCCCCTGCCCTGGGCAGCCCATTCCAACGCCCAACAGCCCCTTCTGCACAGAAATCCTTCCTCAGAGCCAGCCTGACCCTGCCCTGGGCAGCTTGAGGCCATTCCCTCGGGGCCTGGTGCTGGCTCCTTGGCTCCAGAGACTCATCCCCCCTCTCTGCACCCTCCTGGCAGGGAGTTGCAGAGGGCCAGTAGGTCTCCCCTCAGCCTCCAGACTGAACCCCCCCAGTTCCCTCAGCCGCTCCCCAGCAGACCTGTGCTCCAGACCCCGCCCCAGATCCGTTGCCCTTCTCTGGACACGATCGAGTAATTAAGTAATTAATAGATGTAGGATCTCAGCCCCTGGGTCTTGCTGGGTTCCTAGCACATGACTCCCTGCTTCCCTCCTCTCCCTCATCTCCTCCCAGGGAACGACCACTTAGTGATGCTGACGATGGACGGTGACCTCTTCACGTGTGGCTGTGGCGAGCAGGGCCAGCTGGGGAGAGTGCCGGCGCTTTTTGCCAACCGAGGAGGAAGGAAGGGGCTGCGTGAGTTGCTCTGGTGCTCGGAGGCGCGCGGTGCTGCATCCTTTGGCCCCAGCTCTGTGCTTTGCAGAGGAACAAAGAGACCCAGACTTTTTTCCCCCTACTTCTTAAGGGCTCATGTGTAAACCGGTTCCTTGAATTCAGTGAGCTGGATCTAAGGGGGGAGGAAAAGGGTGTAAATCATTAATCCTTGCGTGACACCTTGTCTCCTGCTCCCAGAGCGCCTGCTGGTTCCCCAGCGTGTCCCTGTCAGAGGCAAAGGCAACAGAGGCAAAATGCGCTTCCAGGACGCCTTTTGTGGGGCTTACTTCACTTTTGCTGTCACACAGGAGGGACACATCTATGGATTCGGCCTCTCCAACTACCACCAGCTGGGTGAGCTTCGCTTCACGTCCCTCCCGATCTCCTGCTTTGGTCTGGCTGCAGAGTCCTCCCTGGGCTGGGGGAGTGGTTGCTGCTGGGTTCCCCAGATCCTGAACACCAAGCACCCACCAGACACACCAGAGCTAGAAATTGGGGTGGGGATTCACCCTATATAGCTCTGGGTTTAGATCCCAGTCCCTGCAGCTGGTGGGTTTGAGCAGAAATTTGATTTTGGGGGGGCTGTGTTAGTCTCTGGTGGGTTGAGCCGCAGCGGGGACGGCTCGGTGCCGTTGCCTGGCCTGGGCTGCCCGTGCCTACGGACCTGACCTGCCTGGGTTTATGTGTCCCACCCCGCAGGGACCCAGGGCACCGAGCCCTGCTTCTCCCCACAGAACCTGACGTGCTTCAAGAACTCCACCAAGTCCTGGGTCGGGTTCTCTGGCGGGCAGCACCACACCGTGTGCGTCGACTCAGAGGGTGAGCGTGATGGGCAGGCTGGGGGTTGCACAAAGGGGGATGCGGGAGACCCCTGTGGCCCTTGTCATGACTGGGGAGGTGTTGGGGTGACGTGCTGGAGCCCTACAAATCCTCAGTGTTCAAGGCAGCAAGAGTGGAGTGAATTTTCAGCAAAGGTCAAGGAGGATGACAGGAACTTGGCGTTACTTGTGAACTCTGCTCTTGCAGGCTCGGTCTGTGCAGGCACCCACCCACTGTCTTGATTTTGGGGAGCTCAATGGTCTCTGTCTCACCCTGCTCCTCCTTTTTTGGGATCTAGGCTGTGGTAGGGAGAAGTGATGCTCCCCTAGGAGCCAGACCAGGGCAAGAGGGTCCTTCTGTGGGCTTCTGCCCTCCTTGAGTCACCTCCTGTGCATCTTCTTGTGCTCCAGGTAAAGCCTACAGCCTGGGCAGGGCAGAGTACGGCCGGCTGGGCCTCGGGGCAGGGGCGGAGGAGAAGAGCACACCCACAGTCATCCCGGAGCTGCCCAACATCTCTTCTGTCGCGTGCGGCGCGTCGGTCGGCTACGCCGTCAGCAGTGACGGTGAGTGCCGGGGGCAGGAACGCTGCCGTGTCCCCTCCCCACCCCTTGTCCATCCGGGACTGGAGCCAGGTCCTGGCACTGATCAACCACCCAGCCCGGAGGCAGCTGGGCAGCAGCTGCTCAAATATTTTTGTGGGCCTTTGGCAGCGAGGTTTGTAACAGGGTGTTGATCAGGAGAGGGTTGTTGGCCTCCCGGTGACCCTGACACCCTGAACTCTGCTGCTGTGAGACCTCTGTGCTCTGGTGCTGCGGGAAGGAGGGTTTGTGGTGGGACAATGAGAAGCGGCTGAGGGAACTGGGGGGGTTCAGTCTGGAGGCTGAGGGGAGACCTACTGGCCCTCTGCAACTCCCTGCCAGGAGGGTGCAGAGAGGGGGGATGAGTCTCTGGAGCCAAGGAGCCAGCACCAGGCCCCGAGGGAATGGCCTCAAGCTGCCCAGGGCAGGGTCAGGATGGCTCTGAGGAAGGATTTCTGTGCAGAAGGGGCTGTTGGGCGTTGGAATGGGCTGCCCAGGGCAGGGGGGGAGTCTCCGGGATCCCTGGAGGGGTTGAAGAGTCGGGCTGAGCCAGCGCTGAGGGATCTGGGGGAGTTGGGAACGGTCAGGGTCAGGGTCATGGTTGGGCTGGAGGAGCTTCAGGGGCTTTTCCGACCCGGATGATTCTGGGATTCTATGAATGGGTTTGGTTTGCTCCCTGGGGCTCAAACGCTGCTGTGGCTGTGTGGTGAAACACCTCTGAGTTTCCATGTGTGGTTCCTCACTCCCCTGCCTGGCTCTCTGGCCCCCATTGCTCCCCCCCCCCACTGCTGGGTGTGAAGTCCCCTCGGGTTTGGCTGCTGCGTCCCCTCCCCACCCCACAGTCATTTTTTTGCCTCAAACCCCACATCACCTCCATTGCAGGACGAGCGTTTGCCTGGGGCATGGGCACCAACTACCAGCTGGGCACAGGGGAAGAGGATGACGTCTGGAGCCCCGTGGAGATGACGGGGAAGCAACTGGAAAACCGCACGGTCCTGGCCGTGTCCAGCGGCGGGCAGCACACGGCGCTGCTGGTCAGGGACAAGGAGCAGAGCTGATGAAGCGACACCGCGTAGCCGAGCCCAGCGGGATCACAGGACCCCCGCACACCCCCCCCCCACCTTCCACCCGTGGCGGGTGACCGGTCTCCAGCTCTGGTCTCCTACCGACAGCAGTGGGGAGGGCAGGAGGCTCCCGGAGCCAGGCCCCGGTGGCATGGATGTGGCTGGAGCAGGACTCTTCAGGGACACTGGTGGTTTTTTTTCTCCCTGCAAGTGTGTGTCTGTCTTCCCGTGGTGCCTGGTGCTCTATTAGCTCCCCCGGGTTGGCTTGGTCCTAGACTGATCTCAGTACCGTGGCTGGATGGGTTTTCCACTTCTTCTTTGATTATTTTTGATTTTTTCTGGCCCGGCAAAGCTGAGGGCCTTGTTCATGATGCAAAAGTCTTTCTGAGGTCCCTGTGTTCCCCATCTCTGGGCACTGCTCCATCCCCTGAACCTAAACATCTTTTACCTCTTGGTAAATTACCAAGGTTTGCTCTTGTTTTACTCTTAATTGGGCTTGGATTTCTCTGCTGCCACCAACCAAACCCCTCTGGGCTCCTTCTGGGGGAGCTCTCTCCTCTCACCCCCAGCACTTATGGCTGGGAGCCTGTGCAGGGGAACGCTGCTGGACGATGCCCGGCCTGTGCCACACACAGAGCTGTGGCTGCTGGAACAGGGCTCCGGCCTCCCACCCGTCACCACTTACAGATCTGAGCCAAAATCCTCCAGGCAGCGGCACCGGGAGCAGGTTCCCCCACCCTCCTGTCCGGAGCAGCTGCTTCCAGCGTTGCTTTTTGCAGTCCCAGCCACTCTTGTTCTTTCCTGTTGCCTTTGGAAACCCAACAAAATCCATCCCACGGGTGGGGACTTTGTTATTTGAATTTTTTCCTCTTTCATTTGTTGAGGAAGGAGCTTCATTTGCTGTTAGGGCCTCACTGAGAAGACAACCAATACCCAGCTATGCATCAAATCGCTCGAAACAGTGGGACTCCCTCAGTGTCTCCGGTCTTGGTCCAACTGCTCTGGCTCCCCGTGCCCGGCCTGCCCCATTTTCTCTTCCCGTGCTGCCTTCTGGGTGCCTGGACTGAGAAGGGGGGTCTGTGAAGGTTCAATTTTATATGTTAAGTTACAGCAATAGAGGGAAGGGGGTGTGTGTGTGCAGGGCGGGGTGCTGGGACTTGTACAATGGCTCAGAATAGATTAAATTTTTTTAAAAGAAAATGTAAAGTATTTTGGTTGATTGAGGAAGAGAGGGGAAAAAATGTAATCTTTTAACGTTTGGAATAAACTGAGTTTTGATAAACCCCGGTGTTTCCTGTGGTTTGGAGGGGTGGGCAGCCCTCCCTCCATGGGCACGGGCCTGCTCTGGGATCCTGTTTCAGGGTGGTGGGGCCAGAAAGGGCTGCTCGGGTCCCCTCCTGCCACCTCCCTCCATCAATCCTGACCCGTTCCTGTCCCCTAGCTGCCATGGGAGCCGCGGTGCTGGCCCTGGGGAGGGGAGCCCAGGGCTGACGGAGCCTCATGACGGGAAGATGGGGATGGACCGAGGACACCTCGGCCTCCTGCCACCCCTAGACCGTGGTGTGGGACCAGTTCTCTGTGGCCACGGTGCTTGGGGACGGGGCGAGATGGGTGCCTGCTTTGTAGGGGTGCGGGGCCACCCTTGGGTGCTGCTGTGGCTCCAGGCGTGTGTACATGGGTGCACACTGCAGTTGTGGGACGTGGCCGCGGGATGGCAGCAGGAGCAGGGGACAGAGGGACCTCGGGACTGGGAGGAGTGGGGCAGGGAAAAGGGATGGTCCCCATGGGACCCCCGCTGTCGCCGTGGGACCCCTATTCCTGGCAAATTTGTGTCTCCCGAGGCACAGCTGAGCCCACGGCCACGGATGGAAGGTGTCCCGGCACGTCCCTGCCCCGGGCTGGGCACTCGGAGCTGAGCTGGACACGTGTCTGCTCTGGACAGAAACTGGCACTGACAGCAAATTTCCACACCCTGGTGTGACCGGACCCCCGGTGTCTGTTTATTCTTAATTATTTTGAGAGGCAGAAGGTTCCTTAATAAGCCTCAAGCTGTGGGTGGGCGAACGTTCACTAATATCGTGGCTGATGCTGCTCCCTGGGGACCATCACCCTCCATTTGATGCTCCTCCATCAAATGTGACCTGCTGATGCTGGACACCTAATGGGGAAATTCCTCCTTGTCTTGGGCCTGATTCCCAACGATGAGCTCAACGGTAATGCCTAGTTTTCAAAAAGCAGCACTGGTATTTTTATATCCCTTCCAGGGAAATAACCCACCCCAGTCTGAGTTGCTTTGCCACCCTTTTTCCAAGCCCATCGCCTCCTCCGTGATGCAGAGGGCTGTGCTAGGCTCTGCAAAGCCCTGCTCTGGCAGCTGCTTTTCATCCATCTTCCTGCCCTTTGCTTTGAACCTCACTGCCCTATTTATAGTTACAAAAGGCAGAGAGACATAAAAAAAGGAGATGGACTTCTCCAGCGTTGGAGCGATGCTGTCAAGCCACGGGGATGGAAGGAACAGCCCCTCACTCTGCGGGGCTCCTGGTGCCTGGACGGAAGGAGGTGGCTCTGTCCCCATCCGGGTTGGGGTTGAGGATGGAAGCAAATGGGTTAAATTGTCAGTTAAACCGGGCTTGGGGTTTGGGGAGTTTGAGATGTGGGTTTTGATGCATTTTCTGGGTGGTGTGAATGTCTCCCAAAGAAGTTGGAGGTGATGTGCTGTTCAAAACTCTGTGGAAAACGGTTTTGGGAAGGGCAAAACTCACCCTGGTAAGGGCTGGACACACACACACACACACACACACACACACCCACACACACACCCGAGGCATTGCTGGCAGCACGGAGGGGAAGGGGATGCACAGACCCGAGGGACCCAACCAGCCTGGTCAAGGCACCACATCCTGGCGACCGCCCTGTCAGCAGCAACCTGGGGCTGGCTGGGGTTTGGCTGTCCCCTCCTCGTCACCCCTCTGGCTGCCACTCCCTGGGGTTGGCGTCCCCGGTGGGTGCAGCTCCGCTCCCAGCTGCTTTCTCCTCATCAGCTTGGGGTAGCTCTTCCCGATTCCTCCTTCCCAGTCCCACCGTTGGACAGGGAAGAGTTCCATGATGCACAACTGAACCAAGAAAAGCCGGTGCAAGGGGCCAAGCTAGTACCTGGGGAGGGTTTTCCCCAGAGAACTTGGCCCGGTTGCTCTGGTTGAACCAAGAAGCTCCTGTCCCTCTGGACCAGGATGTCCCCACAGGGGTGCAGCACCTCCGGGCACACAGCAGAAGGCTGGGAGGATGGAGAGGATTCTTCCTCCCTTTTGCCAAGCGGGATTTTCCTTCTTTCCTTGGCTGCCAAAAGCCTCTTGCTCAGTCATCCCCTATCGCCTCGGCCTCTCACAGTGGCTGGGCTCCGCTTCCTGAGCACGGCTGATAAACTGAGAGGAAACACCTGCCCAGCATCTTGGCCAAGGGCTGGTTCGTCCCTTCTGGGTCACACCCACTCTGGGGCAGGGACACCCTTATGGAGGGGATGGCTCATGCTGGTCCTGCCCAGCCTCCCAGGAATCCCTATCCCAGTGCTTCCAGTAACTCTGCATCCCCTTAGCATGGGCAGATTTTTGCATCTGTCCCCCAGGTTTGGGCAATATCTTGCAGCACAAGCAGCTCCTGGCTGGTGGCACCATCCTGCATGGTCCCCACAGGGCCAGATCCTGCCCTCCTCCATCTGCAGCTGGGGACAAAACCCTGATCGTTCCCAAATGGGATGGAATCGTTTCCATCCACCCGTCCTCGAGGAGCTGGTCCTGCTACTGGCAAGGGGGAAACATTCCCTCGTGACTAGGGACCCCGTTGGTATTTTCAAGAAAGAGGGGAAAAAAGGGCTGGGGAGAACAATAGAGTTTAAAATATTCGGAGCTGATGAATCAGCTGACGTTGTCTTGGGAGCCAGAGTGACACTTCAATGGGAAGTTGCTGGAAATTGGGGGAAGGATGAGCCCCCGCGCAGAGGGGAGAGAGTGGGTGAAGGAAAACAGCTTAATTGAGAAAAGGGAAACGTCTCATTAATGAGGTTTTGTGCCGGCAGAGGGAGGCGGTGGTGTTTTGGGGGCTGAGGCGGATGAATTTGGGTCCTGTGATGGGGTTCGGGGGGGACCTCTGGCTGTGCCAGGGTCTGACCTCGGTGCACGGCAGAGGTTTTCCACCGCTGGCACAGCCGGACCTTCTGCCGCTGCCGGCGGGTCCCCGCAGCTCCGATCCCGCGCTCCCGGTCACCATCTGTTGCTATTCGAAGTGCTTTTAATTTACAGACAAAAGATGGGAACGTGGGATTTGGGGCTTTTAGCATCCTGGAAGATGAGCTCTGGTGTTGTGAGACTCTTTTGTCTCTGGAATAAAAGCACCTTGTGTGTTGTTTGAACAATGGGTGGGGTTTTCGTTTTCTTGGGTTTTAACATGTTTTTTAGACGAAAAAAAAATAAAAATCTACCTATGCAATGCTGATGCAAGATCTGCTGGGAGAAAATTGCGTCTTCGAGAGGGTTTGGGGGATACTGAATTGATTTCTTGTCCTCCTTTTCCTGCCTCAAAGAGGAAATGAGCTTTAATTATTGCCAAGTTGCCTGGTGGCAGGGCCGGGTGGTTTTCCCTGGGAGCCGCTAATTAAACAGGCTGCTGCAGCCGGTCGGGTCCTGAGGGTCTTTAATGATGGGGCTGCAAGGGAAGGAGAGAGTTTGGTCATTGCACCGGGCGGTCTCGCCTCCCTGAGTCCTGGCATTAAGGTCAGGAACCTGGCCAGTATATCCCAGTACAACTGGGGTGTGCAATGGTCTGGTGTGGCTCCTGATAGAGGAGCGTGTTGGGTCTCCAGGGGACGGGAATTGGGTTCAAATAGTGATGTGTGGCGAGCTCTGCCCCCTCCCAAAACTGCTGAAGTCCTGGTTCATCTCCTTTAACGGGTCAAAAGTAGGGAAAACTTCTCTCCCAGCCCGGAACATCCCTCTGGAGCTGGGGAACAGGAGTCCGGCTCCTTCCCTGCGTGGAGGAGCCCCAGTGGTCCCCTGGGCCACCAACCAGCCCCCCCATGGCCAGTCCCTGGGTGCTGCATGTTCCTCCCAGTTCCGCTTGCACTGGGGAAAAAAAACAGCACAGGTTGAGCAGAAATTGTAACTATGAAAGGAAGGGGGGAAAAAAAAAAAAGTCTGAGTAATTATTCGTAGTGGTGGGTTTTTTTTTTCTTTTTAAATGATGAATTGCAAGTCAAGAAGGGTCTCTTCAGGGCTGAGAGCCTGAATCCACCCCGGGCTGCTCCAGAGCAAGGGTGGTGGGAGATATCGCCCGCATCCTCGCCAGGAAAGCCGGATTTACTCATTTCCATATGCATAATAATGCAATTAGGAAGTCAGCCTAAACCTTCGGTGCAGACAAAGAAACAGGCGGCTTCGTAATTAATCACACGTGTAAGAATAAAGCCTGTTACATTAGGTTCATTATTTGGTGGATTAATTGAAAAAAAAAAAAAAAAAAACCCACCACATTTTCTCCAGTAGCAAATGTGTTATTAGACTGCAAAGACGGTCCCTGGAAATAGCGTGTAGGTGCGTGGCAGCTCCCATGTGCTGGCACACGCTGCTGCATTATTCACTGGGCTGGATGCTGGTTTAACTGGGCTGTGAAATTGCTGGAGTCGGTGCCTGGATTCATTTTCTGAGGGCGCTGGGTGATGGAGAAGGGTCTGGGAAGCAGCTTTGGAGTGGTGCTGGAGCAGCAATGCCCCTGCTAGAACCCACCCCCAAAGCTGGAAATCTGGTTTTTGCATCCACCCGGCGCTTTTTATGCTTTCCCCATTCTTTGGGAACTCATAAAACACTTCACAAATTGATACGGCAGAAGCGATAAATACTTTAAAATCCAAAGTCTCATTAAACAAGAGCGGAGTTACAGACTCCAACACCCCTTTCCATTGCGTTTCCACTAAATCCTCATTTGCATTTAAATTACAAATGTAATTTGGGCCGGAGTTTGAGCTGCCGGGCTATTAAAATAAAACTGTATCTTGATGGCGGGCAGCAGAGGGACGCCTCGAATGCCACTGGTGCGTTGAAAAGGCTTTTGGTTACCAGGGCTTGCAAAATACCCTCAGCTAAAGGGGCTGGGGCTTCCACGAGGGTGGGTTTTTCCCACTACGGGAGAGTTTTTACAACTTGAATCTAGAAGTAGTTCCTCTCCCATCACTCCCCAGAACACCACCCTGAGCCGGACCCTGCTCATTTTCAGTACCCGAGAGACAAAGGAGAGCTGGAAACTGCTTTCTGTCTCTTATTTTATTTATTTTATTTTTTTAAGAAAGCGTGGTTCCTATACAGAAATGCTGCTGAAAGCCCAGAATCATGAAGGCCGGAGCTGGAAATAGTGGCAGAAGCATTTTGCGAGATCCCGGTCGGTGCCGCAAACAGGTTCAGCAGGAGCCTGAGCTCCACCACGCACTGAGTCGTGGGGGGCTGCTATAGCGGGGGGGTGGCATGGGGTGGCCTCAGCTATGGACAGAGAGATATACATAGAGATATACATATATATATATATATATATATATATAAAGTACCCAGAGAGCGCCCTCGAGCGCCCCAGCTGCGGCATGACTCTGCATGGGCAGACGCAAACTCCCAGCGGTGGTTCTCTGGGTCAGGATTTGACCCCCCGTTTCCCAGCCTGAACGAGGAGCTGGTGGAGCTGGTTTTTGAGTGGGTGCCATTGCGGGGAGAAACTGGATCAGCCCTGGAGTGCCTGCTGGGGTGCTGCTGAAACAGGCAGGTGGGTGATCCTCCAGGTCCGTGTTGTCGCGAGGGCTGTGGTGAGGAGTTTGCCATCAGTCTTATGTTCCCCGGGAATATTATTCTTTTTTTGTTTTGGTTTTTTTTTTTTTTTTTTTTT